TAACACACCACGTTTATTAATTTTGTGTTATATCAAATCTTTAGTTACAGAGAACGGTGGTAAAGCCCGTACAATTACAACAATTGCAACAATGTTTAGCTGCTCAGCATAAAGTGGCTGTTGCTGCAGCTGCCAGTTCGCAAAATAGGACACAAATCGAAAATCAGAGAAATTCTGCTGCCGCTGCTGCTGCTGCTGCATCGACTCCTGGAGACGATGCTGTTTGAAAATGTTGAAAAAGAAAAAAAAAGAAAAATATTAACATTTTCTTCTGTTACATTTAATAATTGAAGCCCACCTTAGCAGAAACATAATGAGGAGATGGTTGACGATAGCACAGTTGATACCATTTAGTCATGTATATATAACTTCCATGTTACGCATAGAGTTACAATGGTTCGTTTCAAGTTCGTTTCAAGAATTTTATATGGGAATAAAAAAACATTGTTTGTGCTTTGTATAAACGGAAAAGAAGCCCCCACCGCCCTCCTAAAATATAAGAACTTCATCAATCAGGCATCACATTAATCATGTATAATAATAATAATAATAATTACGATGATATTCTCGTTCCCTTTAAGAGAGAATGCGATGTAATAATTTTTTTACTACTACAAACGCATTAATTTTTTTTTTCTCTCTCTCTCTCTCTATCTCTCTCTCTTTCTCTCTCTCTCTCTCTCTCTCTCTCTCTCTCGAAATGTGGCTTTTTAAGGAAGGTTTCAATTATTGTATATATATATAACTTATACATACAATATATGATTCGTTTTATATTAAAAGGAAAAAAGAAAAGAAAAGAAAAGAAAAAAAAAAAAAATGACGCAATAAATATTTCCTTTTTATTGATCTTTACCCTTTTTCATACCATTCTGCATTTATGACGAATAAATCATTTTTTAAATGGTAAAACTTAAAAACCGTAGCAACGAGACAGCAGTATGGTTTTGATTTTGATCGTAACGACATATGTATGCTCTGAAATGAAAAAAATATTATCCGCATGATATAATTTGTTATAATAATGTCGTAAAGAAAACATTAGTAAAACGTCAGTGTTATACGATGTATGAGAAAAACACCGCCACACGATTAAAAATAAGCTTGATCTGTTGTATACTTCGATCTATCCCACATGCCGTGCCTACATGTTATATTTTTCACTATAGAAACTTTTACCGATTCCTTACAAACTTGTATATAAAACATTTTATTTAATTATGTGACGATAAACAAAACTATAATGTATAAATTAAATTATTTCTATATATATATATATATAAATAAGATATAAAACCACATTGGAAATAATATTTCATTAACAACGAAGATTCTCAAAGATCTCTGTTAATTCTCTATATATATTTGGAAGTGAAAAGAAAAAAAGATTTATAATATATATATATATAATTTATACATACAGCGAATGATCAATCGACAAATACAATCCGTTCAAAGATTATGTTTGCTATCCGAATTGTTCATTGATTGATCATTGAAAAAGAAAATACAGGTGTCTACGGATATTACATGTAATATTGGTTCTTATTATATTAATTGTTTGAACATATAAATTTTGTCTCTAAGTATTCATTGCCTAATTTGTGTTTGCAGTTTTCAAACTGTTAGTCAACGGATCATTCTCTGTATTAATAAAAGTTGTAAAATAATGTACGCAAGAAGATATTTACATGTATATATACACATATGTAAAATTCATATTTAATTTTTATTTAATGAAGTAAATTAAAAAGAACATTTTCCGGTACACCAAATTATGTGTGCGTATCAAAGATAAATTGGCGATAAAAATATATATATATATATATATATATATATACATAAAAAAATATTAAAAATATAATTCAAGTTTCAATCGATTCGACGATGTTGATGAAAAAATATTTGTGAATCGTAAAACCCTAAGGAAAAAAAAAAAAAGATCAAGGAAAGTAGGAAAAGAAAAGAAAAGAAAGAAAAAAGAAACTAATAGTACGAAAGTTCGAATTGTTTTTGATGTATATAAACATTTTAATTGATTGTTTCCATGGAAATTATATTTTATTATAACGATAAGAAGAAAAGAAAAAAAGAAAAAAGTAACGAATAAGTAGTTATTTATGATCAAAATATAAAAGGGAAGAAAATGTTCATCGAATTTGTAAGCAAGGAGATATAACTAACTGCTATGTGACATATATATACACACACACACACACACACACAATGTACATAATTATAATTATTAAAGGATAATAATATGTTACATAATTAAATATAAAATTATCTATCCGAAGAGAAAGAAAAAGGTATCAAAGTCACAGCACTCGTTAGGCAGAATTTTCCCCGTGTTGGATATTAATTAATTAATGCACAATTGTGTAAATATTACATTATTTAATATAGTATTATCGGTTTACGATTAAATAATAGTTATTCTTCATATTTCTAATGTAATAGCTAAATAAACAACCGAAGATGACGAATTACTCCGTTTTAGGTATAAATCTCTATGTAGTAAAGAATTTAAAAAAGAAAAAAAAAAAAAACGAACAAACAAATAAAACAAACAAAAAAAGAAAGAGAAAAAGTGTAAAAAAAAAAAAAAAAAATAAATAAATAAGAGAAAACAATGATTAACACAGAATGCTTCCTATAAGGTATAAGTAACGTTAATAATTGAATGAATGAATGAATGAATAAAAAAAAAGCGTACAAATTTGTACAACCGAATAATAAAATGTTCCAGCAAATATTACAAACACACACATATATATGTATGTATGTATGTATGTATATATTTTTATAAATACCTGCATATTCTCAACGCATGGCAATAAAAAAAA